GGAGAGGCTGCGGGGCTCGAGCTGCAGAGCCTCCACGTGTGCCGTAGCAGGCAGCACACTCTGTCCTGGCTTGGTCTCCCTTTGTGTCCATGTTTTATAGTCCCCGTATCTGGCTATAGTCACTTCCCGGGGACTGTAGTGAACGAGTAAGGCTGGACATTAAAGTGTAAGCCGTTGCTCAAACTACCTGGGTGGTTTTTCTGCCGTGTGTGAATAAGCGGAGTTATCTCTCCTACAGCCTTGTTCTCTGTCATGTGCTATAATGTTCTTTGTGATAAATATGCGACCCGGCAGCTGTACGGCTACTGTCCATCCTGGGCACTAAGCTGGGACTACAGGAAAAAGGCCATCATCCAGGAGATCGTGAGCTGCAATGCTGACATCGTTAGTCTCCAGGTAAGCCCTGCAGGGGGCTCACACTGCCCGGTCCCAGCGCTGAGCGGGGCGCGTGAGCCCAGGTCACCGCGGCTGGCGGCTCACAGCTCTGCTCTCCCATGCTGGCTAGTCGTGGGTGCGTGGCCGTGCTGCTGCCCGCTGTGCCACCTCATGGCCGCGGCGTTCAGTGGGCTTTGAGCGATGGTACGGCATCTCACTCTCCCTTCCTCCCCCACAGTGTCCCTACATGTTATTCTTTTTTTTTTTTCCTTTTTTTGGGAGAGGTTTTTGCTGTAGGCGGTGTGCGCTCGCCCAGAAAAACAGAGACAGAGAGACAGAGAGCGAGATATCACCCCCCAGTGGGGATGGGCACGCACGCACACATGCCCGGCATGAGCTTAAGCTGCCGGGTCTGGGACTCAAACTGCAGTCGACCACATGGGAGTCCAGTGACATAGCCATCACAGCAACTGCTGGTCCCCCTACACGTTATTCTGGAATTACTGGATTGGTACAAAAGCACGTGTGGTCTGGGGCCGCGAGTCTTACATTGTAAACTAGGCTCCGGCTCATCTCTTCATCCCAATGGCAGCATCGCAGTCGGTGCGCTTGCCAAGCAGAGGTAAGTGTGCCTACTCCGGAGCGCAGGCCCACGCCTCGGGGCGCGACCCGCTCTCAGAGAGCGTCCTCTGCACCCTGCTGCTTGTGGGAGCGTTTTCCCTGCTGTTGTCGAGATGCCTGACAATGGGTAGTTGGTGGCGGAGGCCCGGTGATGTGGCGGGTGAGGCGGAACTGCCCAGTCTGGAGCATTGGCTGTGCAACATGCAGCCCGGCGGCAACATGGGGCAGAGCCACCCTCTGTTGACGGGCGCAGCTGCAGGCGTTGCGGGCTTTGGTGCAGCTCGTTGGTTTATGGGGCGCATTCCTCAGGGCTCGTGGCTTACTGGGACTCAAAGCCGTAGCGGGTCAGAGCGCCCAGAACGGTGACTGTGGCCTTCCTTTGGTGCGAGCCTGGCTTTGGGAAGTGCTTTGGAGCTGCTTCTCAGTCCACCCACTGAGCTGCTCATTGCCGTTGTGTAAACTCCACTTTCCATTGCACTTTGCCGCCCATCAAGGACTGGTTTGTTGTAGCATGGCTAAGAGAAGACGGCACGTCCTAGCAGCGAGTTTTTGTTTTAGATTTTTGTTCTGCTCGTGAGGGACCCGCGTACCAAACTCTTGCACCTTTTCTATTTGCTTCAAATGCCCAGTTGCCATAGGATGGCCAGTGTGGAGCCCTGCGGGAACTTCTGCGCAGTGGGCAGGACCAGCTGTGATGACCTCTCCCAGTAGGCCACCGTCGGTCTCCAATGGCCAGCCACGGTGCCCTCATCGTCCAGGCTCTGCCTCCTTTGCAAAACTCCTGAGCACCCCCCGTACTGCGTGAGCCCCCCCTGCACTGCGCGCTCTTGCAGGTCCCAGCCGAACGCGTGCATGATGTCGCGCATCGTCTCTGCCGCTCTACGGCCCGTTTTGAACTCAAGTTAGAAAATTGCTTGAATTTATTGTCTATCATGACTTTCATAGTCCAAAGTACATATAAAATAAACAGCAAGTCATAAACCATTTGCAAAAAACACAAAATAAGAAAAACACATTAAAATGACGGGTAACATAACCACATTTAAGAATGTATCCAGGGGGACCAGCAGGTGGCATGGTAGTTAAGGTGCTGGACACTCCTACATGGCTGATCACGGTTTGAGTCCCGGACTTGGTGACTTCCTTGGTCCCTTTCTCTGTGTGTGTGTCTCTCTCTGGTCAAATTGAAAAAAATAAATGAATGAACAAATAAAATTAAATAAATATTTTTTTTATAAAAGAATGTGTCCAACAGTGCAAAACTGTGCTTACTTTTGCACAAACCTAACAGCTGGCAGCTCCTACATCTGTGATGTCGGCAGGTGCAGTCTCGCTCGCCCCGTGTTACTAGAATAATTAGGGTGTAGCGGGAAAGGACTGGACTAGGTGCACAGCGACTTTGGGGTCTCAGGCCCACCCAAGTTCCATGATCTTGAGCGAGGTACTTTCTCCCCGTGGGTCTTCAGTAGTGACCTGGAGAGTTCCCTCCACTTCTGTGGTCCTTGCCCCACGTCCGTTCTAAGGCACCAGCAGCACGCAGGGAGGACAGGCCTTTCACCACAGGTCGGGAACAGTGAGGACGCGGCTGTGGCGGCTAGTCCCTGTGCAGTGGCACACCCGTGTTCCGCTCGGTCTCCGATGGAGGTCGGAAAGACCTTGCGTTCTTTAGTCTGCAGAGCAGTACTTTATTTCAAGCTCTGAAACTACACAAAACATGAATGCGTAGGAGTGATTTTGTTTCAGGATTAATTGTGCTATTGGCGCTTTCCAGGAGGTAGAGACGGAGCAGTTTTACAGCTTCTTCCTGGTGGAGCTGAAACAGCGCGGCTACAGCGGCTTCTTTAGCCCTAAGTCGAGGGCCCGGACGATGTGCGAGCAGGAGCGGAGGCGCGTGGACGGCTGCGCGGTGTTCTTCAAGGCGGAGAAGTGAGTCACTTTGCTTCCAAGGGAGCCTTCCGTGTTTGCGAGGCAGGGGCCGAGAAGTGGAGGGCTGGGTAAATTCGAGAACGAGGAACCGAGCCAGCCCCGTCAGCAGTGCTGCCCACGGGAGGGCAGTTTGACCCAGAAGTAGCCTTGTTTGGAGACGTGCTCCGTGCTACATGCCGCTGTTCCTTCCGGTGTTTGCCAGGCTCAGACTCCCGTCTTAACACGTGGCACCGAGCCTCTCTGGGGTGAAGAGGGAGTCTTAGATCTATACTTTGGAAAATAATTATTGAACGTTACAAAATGGGATATTCTAACTCGAAACCGAAACAGACAGCTGAGTTATCCTACGTCGTGAAGGCATTTCACGGCATTATTTGTGTCAGGGACATGGCTGAGAGCCGCGCTCACGGGTGGTGGGAATTTTGTGCTGAGCGTGGAGGACTTCCCATAATGCAGCTAAGTGCCCTCGTATCTGTTAGGCATTCGGGAAACCCGCGTCCGCCACGA